TCTTCCATTGGTCTGTTTCTCTGTTTCAGTACCAGTACCATGCTGTGTTGATTACTGTAGCCCTGTAGTGTAGTTTGAAGTCAGGTAGCGTGATGCCTCCTGCTTTGTTCTTTTTGCTTAGAATTGAGTTGGCTATGCAGGCTCTCTTTTGGTTCCAATATGAAGTTTAAGGTGGTTTTTTCCAGTTCTGTGAAGAAGGTCATTAGTAGCTTGATGGGGATAGCGTTGAATCTATAAATTACTTTGGGCAGTATGGCCATTTTCACGATATCAGTTCTTCCTAACCATGAGCATGGAATGTTTCTCCTCCTGTTTGTGTCCTCTCTTATTTCGTTGAGCAGTGGTTGGTAGCTCTCCTTGAAGAGGTCCTTTATGTTCCTTGTTAGTTGTATTCCTAGGTATTTTATTCTGTTTGTAGCAATTGTGAATGGCAGTTCGTTCTTGATTTGGCTGTTATTGGTGTATAGGAATGCTTGTGATTTTTGCACGTTGACTTTGTATCCTGAGACTTTGCTGAAGTTGCTTATCAGTTTCAGGAGATTTTGGCTGAGACAATGGGGTCTTCTAAATATACTATCATGTCGTCTGCAAATAGAGAGTTTGACTTTCTCCTTTCCTAACTGAATACCCTTTATTTCTTTTTCTTGTCTGATTGCTCTGGCTAGAACTTCCAGTACTATATTGAATAGGAGTGGTGAGAGGTGCATCCTTGTCTAGTGCCAGATTTCAAACAAATGCTTCCAGTTTTTGCCCATTCAGTATGATATTGGCTGTGGGTTTGTCATAAACAGCTTTTATTATTTTGAGATACGTTCCGTCGACAACCTAGTTTGTTGAGCGTTTTTATCATAAAGAGCTGTTGAATTTTGTCAAAGGCCTTCTCTGTATCTATTGATGTAATCATGTGGTTTTTGTCTTTGGTTCTGTTTATGTAGTGAATTACATTTACAGACTTGCGTATATTGAATCAGCCTTGCGTCCCTGAGATGAAGCCTACTCGATCGTGATGGATAAGCTTTTTGATGTGTTGTTGCAGTCGGTTTTCCAGTATTTTATTGAAGATTTTTGCATCTGTGTTCATCAAGCATATTGGCCTGAAATTTTCTTGGTATCAGGATGATGTTGGTCTCATAAAATGATTTGGGGAGGATTCCCTCTTTTTGGATTGTTTGGAATAGTTTCAGGAGTGGTGCCAGCTCCTCTTTGTATGTCTGGTAGAATTCAGCTGTGAACCCATCTGGACATGGGCTTTTTTTGGTTGGTAGACTATTGCTGCCTCAACTTCAGCCCTCGTTACTGGTCTATTCAGGGTTTCGATTTCTTCCTGGTTTAGTCTTGGGAGGGTGTAAGTGTCCAGGAATTTATCAATTTCTAACAGGTTTACTGGTTTATGTGCATAGAGTTGTTTGTAGTAATCTCTGATGGTAGTTTGTATTTCTGTGGAATCTGTGGTGAGATCCCCTTTATCATTTTTTATTGCATCTATTTGATTCTTCCCTCTTTTCTATTAATCTGGCAAGTGTTCTATTCTGTTGATCTTCTCAAAAAACCAGCTCCTGGATTTATTACTTTTTGGAGGGTTTTTTATGTATCTACTTCAGTTCTGCTCTTGGTTATTTCAGTCAACATTCAAGAGCCAGGTGTTCAGTTTCCATGAAGTTGTGTGGTTCTGAGTTAGTTTCTTAATACTGAATCTAATTTGATTGCACTATGGTCTGAGAGACTATTTGTTATGTCCCATTATTTTGCATTTGCTGAGGAGTGATTTACTTCCAATTATGTGGTCAATTTTAGAGTAGGTGTGATGTGGTACTGAGAAGAATGTACATTCTGTGGATTTGGGGTGAAGAGTTCTTTAAATGTCTATTATGTTTGCTTGGTCCAGGTCTGCGTTCAGGTCCTGGATATCCTTGTAATTTTCTGTCTCATTGATCTAATATTGACAGTGGAGTGTTAAAGTCTCCCATTATTATTGTGTGGGAATCCAAGTCTCTTTGTAGGTCATTAAGAACTTGCTTTATGTACCTGGGTGCTCCTGTATTGGGTGTATATATATTTAGGATCGTTAACTCTTCTTGTTGCATTGATCCTTTTACCATTATGTAATGCCCTTCTTTGTCTCTTTTGATCTTTGTTAGTTTAAAGTCTATTTTATCAGAGACTAGGATTGCAACTCCTGCTTTTTTTGGCTCTCCGTTTGCTTCGTAAACCTTCCTCCATCCCTTTATTTTGAGCCTATGTGTATCCTAGCATGTGAGACAGGTTTCCTGGATACAGCACACTGACCAGTTTTGACTTTTTATCCACTTTGCCAGTCTTTGTCTTTTGATTGGAACACTTAGCCCATTTACATTTAAGGTTAATATTGTTATGTGTGAATTTGATCCTGCCATTTTGATGCTAGCTGGTTGTTTTGCCCATTAGTTGATGCAGTTTCTTCATTGTGTCAATCAATGCTCTTTACCATTTGGTACATTTTTGGAGTGGCTGGTACTGGTTGTTCCTTTCCTTATTTAGTGCTTCTTTCAGGAGCTCTTGTAAGGCAGGCCTGGTGGTAACGAAATCTCTCAGCAATTGCTTGTTGGTAAAGGATTTTATTTCTCCTTCACTTATGAAGCTTAGTTTGGCTGGATATGAAATTCTAGGTTGAAAGGTCTTTTCTTTAAGGATGTTGAATATTGGCCCCCACTCTCTTCTGGCTTGTAGGGTTTCTGCCAAGAGATCTACTGTGAGTCTGATGGGCTTCCCTTTGTGGGTAACCTGAGCTTTCTCTCTGGCTGCCCTTAGCATTTTTTCTTTCATTTCAACCCTGGTGAATCTGACGATTATGTGCCTTGGGGTTGCTCTTCTTGAGGAATATCTTTGTGGTGTTCTCTGTATTTCCTGGACTTGAATGTTGGCCTGCCTTTGTAGGTTGGGGAAGTTCTCCTGGATAATATCCTGAAGAGTGTTTTCCAGCTTGGATTCGTTCTCTTCATCACATTCAGGTACACCTATCAAACGTAAATTAGGTCTTTTCACATAATCCCATATTTCTTGGAGACTTTGTTCATATTTCACTCTTTTTTCTCTAATCTTGTCTTCTCATTTTATTTCATTGAGTTCATCTTCAGTCTCTGATATCCTGTCTTCTGCTTGGTCAATTTGGCTATTGAAACTTGCATATGCTTCACAAAGTTCTCGTGTTGTTTTTCAGCTCCATCAATTAATTTATATTCTTGGCTAAGCTGTTTATTCTCATTAGCATTTTGTCAAACCTTTTTTCAAGGTTCTTAGTTTCTTTGCATTGGGTTAGAACATGTTTTAGCTCAAAGAAGTTTGTTATTACCCACTGTCTGAAGCCTGTTTCATCAGACTCATTCTCCCAACCAGCCTTGTTCCCTTGCTGGTGAGGAGTTATGATCCCATGGAGGAGGAGAGGCTTTCTGGTTTTGGGTGTTTTTATCCTTTTTGCACTGGTTTCTTCCCATCTTTGTGGATTTATCTACCTGTGGTCTTTGTAGTTGGTGACTTTCAGATGAGGTCTCTGAGTGGACGTCCTTTTTGTTGATGATGAAGTTATTTCTTTTTTCGCTTTCCTTCTAACAGGCTCCTTTGCTTTAGGACTGCTGGAGGTCCACTGCAGACCCTGTTTGCCTGAGGATCACCTGCAGCAGCTGCAGAACAGCAGAGTTGCTACCAGTTGCTTCTTCTGTTATCTTTGTCCCAGAAGAATACCAGCCAGGTGTCAGCCTGAGCTCTCCTTTATGAGGTGTCTCTTTGGATATACGGGGGTTGGGGAGCTGCTGGAGGAGAGTCTATTCCTTACAGGAGCTGGGGGGCTCAGGTGTGAGCTCCGTTGTTCTGTTCAGAGCTGCTGGGCAGGTACATTTAAGTCTGCTACAGCAGAGCTCATAACTGCCTTTTTTTTCCCATGTGCTTTGCCCTGGGAAGGTGGGGTTTTATTAGTTAACTTCTTGACATGCCCTTTTTCAGAGATGTCTTTTTCCCAGCGAGGAGGTAGCTTAGTCATAGTCTGCCAGCAGAGGCATTGCTGAGCTGCTGTGGGCTCTGCCTAGCTGCTTTGTGAACTTCCTTGTGGTTTTATTTATAGAGGTATAGTTAGAACTGCCTCAGTAATGGCGGTCTGCCTCGGTAGTGGCAACTGCCTCAGTAATGGCGGATGCGCTTCCCCCAACAGAGCTGGACCGTCCCAGGTCCAGCTGTGCTTGCTGTGACTCTCAATCCAGAGCATTTCAGATTGCTTGTCTTTATGGGGGTGGGACCCGCTGAGCCTGATCACCTGGCTCCGTTTCAGCCCCCTTTTTCAGTTGAATGGGCAACTGTCTGTCTCCCAGGCATTCCAGGTGCCGGTTGAAACGGCACCCAGATTTGTTTTTGTGCAGAGAACCACTGCGCTGGCTGAAACAGATGTGCTTGAGAGCCCTGGCACTTTTCTGCCCGGGAAACTCCTAGTCTATGGGCAGCGAAAATTCGTTTAGAAATGCAGTGATCACTCACCCTCTGCGTTCTTGCTGGGAACTGCACTCCAGAGCTGTTCCTATTCAGCCATCTTGGATCGTCCCCCAGAAAATTCTTTATAAACTAGGCTCTTAGAGCAACAAAGCACTGGCTAGCTAGTGGTCTTTCTTTTAGACTCACTTCTGGCCAGTCTGCAGTAATTGTTAGTCAATAACACCCATCATCAGTGTTTAAAAAAAAATGTGCAGAATTGGAGATATTAACAATGACATTTGGAGGAAAGTGGTAAGAAAACCCAGGTTCAAGTGAAGCAAAACAGGATTAGAAAGTTCTTAAGAGCAGCTGTCTTGAGGGGAAAAACTTCAGAGGTCAAATTTAAAGCTCAACAATTTAAATATCTGAAGGCTAAAAAGACTTTAGTAAAAAAAGTAGCTCCCTGGTTTAGAGCAAGAGGAAAGTCAAAAATTATCCCTAATGTGTAAACTCAGGTACCACCTTAGAAAAAGAGGTTATGTAAATAAGTTAACAAGACATTTGAATATACTTTGTGGGATTTTATTTAGGTCAAGTTCTTAGTACACGGCAGCAATTCCAAATACAATTAAAAAATTAAAAAGTGATGTTCCACCACTCATCTGGAGGTGGTTTAATGGCACACAAGGAACATTACTGGCAACAGACTGCTCCCTCAAGTTCTCCTGGATGGTTTTTACTCAACGCATAGTATCACCAACTCTCCCTCTGGGAGCTAAAAGCACAACTGGCCAGATCACAAATTGTTTACATTCTTTTTGTAAGCCATTTTTTTTTTAAGAAAAATGGTGCATGGACACAAAATATGATAAAAACTTTTTCCATAGAATTCTTAAGTTGCAAAAGAGATTTCATTTTAATGTGAAAATAAGCTTTTTTTGGTTTTTCTTTTTTTTTTTTTACAAAAAACCTTAAGATATTCAGCAAGGATCATTTATACACAGCTAGGCCCTGTCGTTTCGTTGTATTTTTTTTTTTAGAATGAGAGTCTCAACCAAATAGGAACAAAGATCAGCACAAAGTAAACAAAGGTAATGAGCTTGATGCCTCCCCATTTAATCATTTTATAAGGCTCTCTCCAATAAGGCTACTGTGCTGTGCTCCTGCCAGTGCTGAATTAATATAACATTCCTACCAAACACACCTTATGGGAAAGTGTTTATACTGAGTGTAGTTTTAGGAGGGATAAAAACGAAGATTATTTTCATTAAGGTTGCAGTTAGTACACGCCTTTACACAATTCTGATAGTATTTATCAAAACATGGCATACCTTTTCAAGTATATTCTTGAAAACATCAAATAAAACTCAACTTCTTTTAAAGAAAAATACAGCACATTTAGTTAAGACAGTTGTGGTGCAGTGGAAAATTGACCACTGAGTGAGACCTCTGCTGTTACTAGCTGTTAACATGAAGAAGAAAACTTACTTCATCAAATGAGACAACCAGAATTTTTAAAATCTCATCTAGCTCAAATTCTATGATTCTAAGTAAATCATATGGGGGATATTATCACCTTAACACCAATCAGGAGTTCCTAGCCAAAAAGTCCAGAAGTGAACAGATCCCATCTTTTCAAAGACTTAGTCACCTGCGAATTCCTCCATCAAACCTTTTTCAAAGGCAAAGGTCACCTTCAGGACATAACATGCTCTCTCCACAAAGGAGAAAAGAAAAGGTAGTAAAAGATAAACACAGTTCTTAATGCAAAAAGTTCACCTACTAAAAGAAAATGAACACAAAAAGATAAAAGTAAACTACCATCATTTTGATTCCTTTTAAAGAGAAAAAAAATCTTAAGTAGTTATCTTCAACAAAAACTGCCAAGGAGTGCAGCTACATTACACACATCACAGTAAAGATGCATAAAATATTCTCTAGCCAGATAATAAACACCAGTAGGAGGAAAAAGGAGGGGATGAAAATGTCTCACACCCAGTAACTTTTAGGGACATAGCAAAATTAGCAGGCCATTGTCAACTCTAAAATGGGAACAGCAGGCGCCTCTGAGGGAGATACAAAGTAGCTCAATGATGGAAAATACTAAACAAGATAGCTTAAAAGATTCATATTTATTCCAAATGGCAGGCTGAATCAGATGTAGATTTTGACACATTGGCACTATTTTTGTTTGATTTATTGCCTTGGCCATAAGGTCAAAGACAAGAAAATGTATTTTCATTCATAACACCATGGACTTTCGATTACTAATATGACAAAAGAAAAAGACAACTATTCTTTTTTTTTTTTTTTTTTTTTTTAAAGGGACTGGTCCCACAAACTAGGAGGAAGAATCCCCTCTCCCATTAGGTTTCTTCTATCCTGATAACATGGTTGCTTTATTGGTTAGCTTTTGGACTTGGGTCATCTGTTACATTATTATTACACAGCATGGAAGATGTTTCTGCATTCATTTGGAATTCCTAACACCATCTTTTAATTTATAAAAAGATAAATGAGGGGAACTTACAATAAAACAAAAAATACTACCCTCACAGACTATTAATAGCATGCAATCTATGAAATATTACATACATTAAAAGTCTCCAATTACTGTGCGCCTAGCCTGTCATCACATCGTATCCTTCCAAGACAATCTATAGAATTCAAAACTGTACAAAAATTTTAAAGTATGCTGAAAATCCAACAGGTATTGTTTGTAAAACAAAGATCATACACACATTAGTACTAAATAGGGGAAAAAAAAATCAGCAGACCCATGGACTTCCCCCTGCTCCCAACCACAGGTCTTCAGTATAAAATACTTCACCAGTGTCTTCTGCACTCCCCCATCCAGCAGGGGTCCAACAGGCCAGCTGCGTTCCTGCTGACTGCCACCAACTCTGTTTTCTGCACAGTTGTCTTCTCTGCTGTGGTGGTGAGCTGTGGGAACTACTTTTTTGTTTGTTTTTGAGACGGAGTCTCACTCTGTCACCAGGCTGGAGTGCAGTGGCATGATCTCGGCTCACTGCAACCTCTGCCTCCTGGGTTCAAGCGATTCTCCTGCCTCAGCCTCCCAAGGAGCTGGGACTACACGTGCTCGCCACCACACCCAGCTAATTTTTGTATTTTTAGTAGAGCTGTAGTTTCACCATATTGGCCAGGATGGTCTCAATCTCTTGACCTCGTGATCCGCCCACTCAGCCTCCCAAAGTGCTGGAATTACAGGTGTGTGCCACAACATCCAGCCTGTGGGAACTACTTAGTGGATTTCAAAACACCCTCTGCCTCATTAATCCACTAAGCTTTGTCAGCAAAAAGCTGTTTAAATAAATAAGGGGAACATCTAATTTCAAAACAGTTTTTCTAATTATAGACCAGTACACTAAGGAGAGCTTAACCTATCCAAGTTTAGTTTAGTTTGGGTCCATAATGGAGCTAAAGGCTCAGAGGACATTCTGGGCCATTACACTGCAGGAAAACAAGGAATAAAGGATGTAGAAATGACCTAAAAAAAAAAGCAATAAGTGGAATGTATACAGGAGGCAAGTTAATGAAAGCTAACAAATACAAAGTGTTGGGAGAATCTAAAAGAAAAATAGCTATTGTAACTTGAAATGCATTGTTAAAAATAATCTTAAAAAGGTCTTAATAAAGAGACTCTATAGCAGGGTCTCAATTAAATGCTCTTGTTTTATGCTCAGATAACATTTACAAGTAGAATATTAACTTCTGCCTACATCATTCTGAATTTCCTCACACACTACTACACTTGTTCATTTTTCAATCAAGTTCCTCTTTCTGAACTTGTTCAAGACCTTGTTTGAAATATATGCAGCTATTGCTTTTCCCCTTTCACCTAGCACAGGGAAGTTACTTGGCAAAGCTCTATTCTGGCCAAGTCACTGGGACTGAGTAGAGCCCATGTTAGCAGCTCTGGGCCTGAACAGGGCTGGCCCACCGTCACAGTAACCACCTACAAAGAGGCAAGCCCTCCTGGATTTTTTCAATATTTCCTATACTGACTACAGTAGTGAAGGTTAAAGCCATCTGCCCTACAAACTCCATTGGATCTGAAGCTGTATTTATTGTACAGATGGGGGAAATGTATTTTATTGTTTGTGTCAGTTATATTAATTTTTATCAATGTGATTAGATATGTATTTTGGCCTATTAATCTTATTCATGATATTCTTAATCTGAGACAGGTTTAAATTCTCACTAAAAGCAGCTACTTAAGAGTCCAATAATACAAAATCAGGAGAGTATTACCTTTTCTGCAGCTAAGTGAGTCAATGATACAGCAGCAATTAATACTGGCCATTAATCACATCCAGAGAGCACATTAACAAACCTTTTATTCCCAGTGACTATCAAGAGACTTGAAAATAACCACTATTCTCTTCCAGAGTAGAATACGATTTTCTAAATAGTGAAAGAAGTGATCATCATAGTTGGTCTGAACTCCAAGACCTACTCCTCAAAACAGCACCGACGGCAAGGGTTTGGGATGCCTGCTAAGAGCATTTCCACAGTTCAGTCTCTTCAGAACCTTAAGAACCTTCACACACCCACCTCCGCACATGAACCAGCCTACCACACTTCACATCTGGGCATACCGGCCATTAGCAACAGTGCAGTCTCATGCAGCAGCACATTAAAATCAAATGGTGGCAATCGTTTGCCACCCTCAGAATGTTGGGAGACTTTCACATTTCATCATCCTTATAATCCACAAACAAATATGAAGGGATGCAAGTGAGTTCACCATGCACTCATCTGGTGCACTCAAGTGCTGAGAGAATGCAGAATTTACAGTGTTACAGAAGAAAAATGCCATCTGAAATAACAGTAAAAATGGTTAAGTGTGGTATTTAAATATTGGTTCCCTCCTCTTCATAGTGGAAGAAAAGAATGGGCAGGGTACCAACTGGGCCATGAGGTTAACCCCTTAGCACAGGCAATGAAGAACATCCAATGCCACATATTCTGTAGGAGGAGAAATCCCAAGGGCATACAGTATTCCTGAGAAAGATCCCAGATTTTTCTGAATCAGTCTTAATCTGATTTTGTTTTGGCTACACAGTTATGTTATACCTCTGACATATACAAAAAATGGTCACTTTATTTCAATCCCGACAACTCAGCATAGTACAAATGACGGCAGCAAGATCCATTTGTTCAGACTCAGATTGCTTTTTTTGTTTTTAATACTGGGGGATAAACCAAAAAAGTGTATTTTTTTATCATTTGTATCCTTCATTCTACTTTACTGGAGTGGAATCTCCAGGGCCTTCAGATAATCTGGGAAGACCTGACTATTCCTGTGAGGCAAGCACATCCCTGCTGAGCTCTACTCAGAATAATGCATGATAGACTCAACGTAATTCCCAGGAAAAAGCCCAGTCACTCCATTCATAACTCCCTCATACCAACCATCGTCATTCTTCTTGATGACATAAATAATGGCTCCTTCCTGAAAGGACAGCTCATCTTCCTTGTCTTTTGTATAGTCATAAATTGCCACAACTGGGAGGGAAGAAAAACAAAATAGGATGTGAAAGAGAATAATATTCCTAGAAAGATAGAACCAAGCAGGTGAATATGTATCCTTTCCCAAATCCTATAGCACTCATTCATGGTGACTTTCTAAACACCAACCAAAACGTATTTTTTTCTAAGTTATACCCAGTCACATACAACGAAATTCCATGTTCCATGGATGTTAGGCTTTACACTGAGTACAAATGATGAAACAGCACATTTACTCAAATGTGCTTTTGATTACCTTTCAAGAGCCTACGGGAAAGTACCTTGTTAAAGAGATACACAATCCTAGAATCAAGAAAGATGGCTGTTTCTTCATCTGAGCTTGTGTTGAGATACCATACTGTGGTTTAAAAAAAAAAAAAGCTTTTCTTTACCTTAGAATTTTACTAGTGCAATGAGATACACTATGAGAGACAAGTGAGAAACCAGACAGACTAATGAACAGCAGATATCGGTCTTCTTCCTCTCACTCTCTGGAGCCTATGCCTCTTTCACTAAGTAGAATGGTGTTTGAATTTCCCCAAGTTAAATGTATGAATGATGGGAGTCTGCTACATATATTCTTTCAAAACATATGCTGCATTATGTCAAGCAATTTAATATAACCATAATAACAGACTAAAAGTGCCAAGAAAACCAAGATACCTATAAGCTCTCCTGTGATTTTCATTGCTTACATCACTTGGTAACTTGGCTCTTTCAGTCATTATCTCAGTGGTTATTTCAACTGTTATCTTATTTCAACCAGATTCTGATTCCCAAGTATTATATCAACTTCAACAGTTCAGTTATACTGGGATACCCTGTAACTTGCTCAAATCCACTTGAAGAGTTATCCTTTGCTCCAACCTCTTCATCTCCTGTACCTTTTTTATACCACTCAGTGAAATCTCCATCTATCCATTGTTCTGAGACAAATATACTGTCTTTGTTAGTTTGTCATGTGACCTTATACCTCACGTAAATAAATGGGAAACAAACCACAACAAGGACTTTTGATATAATGTAATGTGCCCTAGTGAAAGAAAATTTGTTTCTGGCCTGTTTTAATAAAAATTAAATAGCTTTCTTAAATTGTGAATATTTTCCATTAGAGTGATATAGTAGGAACACCAGAATATTTTTTTTTTTCTGAGACAGTCTCAATCTTAACGCCCAGGCTGGAGTGCAGTGGCACCATCTCAGCTCACTGTAACCTCCGCCTCCCAGGTTCAAGTGATTATCCTGCCTCAGCATCCTGAGTAGCTGGGATTACAGGCTCATGCCACCATGCCCAGCTAATTTTTGTATTTTTAGTAGAGACGGGTTTCTGCTATGTTGGCCAGGCTGGTCTTGAACTTCTGACCTCAGGTGATACACTCGCCTTTGGCCTCCTACTCATTACAGTAGTGAGCCATCTGCACCCAGCCAGAAAATAGAGGATCCTTGCTAGGAAGAGATCAGCGTGCATTTCTCAATATACAACCAAATGCCTGAAGACAATCAAATGTAGTTAAATGGCATACAAGTTTAAATATAAGAAAATACAATTTAGAATATTTAGCATTTCTAGTCAACCCAGTATTTTCTACTGCTTTTTTAAGGAAAGATAACATTAATGATGCTTAAAGAAACACAAACCCTTGGCTGGGCACAGTGGCTCATGCCTGTAATCCCAGCACTTTGGGAGGCCAAGGCAGGCAGATCGCTGAGGTCAGAAGTTCGAGACCAACCTGGCCAACGTGGTAAAACTCTGCCTCTACTAAAAATACACAAATTAGCTGGGCATGGTGATGGGCGCCTATAATCCCAGCTACTCAAGGGGTTGAGGCAGCAGAATCGCTTGAACCCAGGAGGTGGCAGTTGCAGTGAGCTGACATCATGCCACTTCACTCCAGCTTGGGCAACAGAGCAAGACTCTGTCTCAAAAAAAAAAAAAGAAATGCAAACCCATGAAAGTAATTGAGAAGAGAATATGAAGCCTGTTGTAACAGAGATGTTTAGAAGTGGAAAGTTAGTAAGCTCTACGTACATTCATTTTCTTCTTTAAAATGTAGAAACTGCCAGCCTGAGCAACATAGCAAAACCCTATCTCTACAAAAACAAGAACAACCAAAAAAAAAAAAAGGGGAAAAAAAAATTAGCCGGGCACGGTGGCGTGTGCCTGTGATCCCAGCTACTTGGGAGAATCACCTGAGCTCAGCAAAGTTGAGGCTGCAGTAAGCCGTGACTGTCCCACTGCACTCCAGCCTGCGTAACAGAGTAAGATTTGTCTCAAAACAAATCAAAAGTAGAAACTGGATTAGGTAGAATTTACACTGAACATGATTCCAGAGACTCTGTTTATAATGGTATGGAGCTGAGAGTTTTAACAACTATTCAACACTTTTTCTTTTGCCAAAATTAGTATTCACTATTTTAAAATTAACTTTTTAAAAAATCAGAAATAAGCTGTTAAGAATATTCATTTTCTGGCTGAGCACTGGGGCTCACACCTATAATCCCAGAACTTTGGGAGGCCAAGGAAGGAGAATCTCTTGAAGCCATGAGTTCAAGACCAGCCTTGGCAACATAGCAAAACCCTGTCTCTTAAAAAAAACAAAGACACACAGGAGAGATAAGGGCCTGGGTGGTAGCCAAGAGAACTGGGAGCTTGTGAGACACTTCGGAGGAAGAAATCAACAAGGCTTGCCTCAAATTAGACATCGTAGTCAGGAACCTGGCTCAGAGCTGCTCCTCAGTGCCAGCTGCTGGACTGAACAAGATTTTAGGGAAGGCGCAGCCACATACCAGGGAGAGCCTGGCATCTGCAGTGACCCGTGAGCAGCTGTCCCTAGAGCTGGGCCTGCCCCTGAAGCACACTGAGCCCATCCTTCACAGCCCTGTGGTGCTAACCCAGGGCCCCAAGACCACCAGGAGGCACCTCTTCCTCTTCAGGGACTGGCTGGTCATTGCCAAGCAGAGGTGCTTAGAGATTTCAAAGAATTCAAAACCCACCTGGCATCCTTCCCCTGGATCCCAGCCCGGGATGTGTTGTTTTCAGAGACCTGAGAAAACCCCAAAGAGACACAAACAGCAGCTGGGGAAATCCTGCCATGGCTCAGAACGCATCCTTGTCACCCGCTCCGCGAGTGCCCAGCTGAGCTCCTGAACATGGCTCTGGGCTGCGGGCTGGTACCCAGGGCAATCACAGGTGTGTGGCCTGAACCACCCTCACTTTTTATTTAGGAACTCCCTGAGTCCCCCTTGTAAACAGGTTCAGCGTGCTCCCCAGCAGCCAGGAGGGCAGGGAAAGGTCAGTGAGGGAAACGCAGGGTTGACATGGACGGTTAGCGTCAAACACACCAGCAAGCCCTGGCCCCAGCGGCCTGGCTAGAGGCACACACGGGCCACTGCACCCAACCTCCCCAGGCCTGGCCACGGGGCTTCCCACTGGCACAGGGTACTTGCAGTGGCCGGGAACTGAATTAACATTCACTGGGTACTTAGGAAGGATGAGGATCCCAGAAACCCTCCCCTGCCACTCCCTAGAGAAGGAGGGTGGCAGCACTCTGGAAAGAACCCTATTAGATGTGCAGGTATCCTAAGAACCGCCATCACCATCACAGGGACCAGCTCCTTTTTTGCCTCTGTGCCTCCACCCGCACTGCTCCGGCCACCTGGGAGGCTACGCTCCCTCCTCCTGTGGCCAGTTCTTCCCTATGCTGGGGGCCATGGCCCCAGTGAACTGGATCAAAGCACAGACTCTGGAACCCAGTGCTGGGTTGAATCTCCCCTCTGCCATTTACCAACTATGACTAAGCTCTATGCATCTCCATCTTCTTGCCTATAAAATGGAGATAAAAATAGCATCTTCCTCACAGGATGGATTGGGGTAAGGATTGAAAGAATAACTGCAAGATCAGAGCTTAGAACTGGCTGGCACGTGAGTGCAGTGTTTCCTATGAAGTAGAGTCACTTTCTGATGTGTTTTCCAGGAAAGATTGAGGCCCCAATTCGCTCACAGAAAAAGAGAAGAGCGAGAAGTGATCTCAGTCTCCTCCACCAGGCTGAAACAAATCGTCAATCACTTATCAGCTAACAGCTCCTGGCATGTGAAGGGTCTGCCTCACTCAAGCCATTTTGCCATACTCTGGAGTCAGAGTCCAAGCTCTCAAAGAGTTTATAATACAGTAAAAAGGTTTAAAATCTGCCAGCCTTGGCTGGGAGCAGTGGATCATGCCTGTAATCCCAACACTTTGGGAGGTTGAGGTGGGTGGATCACAGTCAGGAGTTCAAGACCAGCCTGGCCAATGTGGTGAAATCCTATCTCTACTAAAAATACAAAAATTAGCCGGGCGTGGTAGCATGCGCCTGTAATCCCAGCTACTCAGGAGGCTGAGGCAGGAGAATCGCTTGAATCCAGGAAGTGGAGGTTGTAGTAAGCTGAGATCAAGCCATTGCACTCCAGCCTCAGTGACAGAGCAAGACTCTGTCTCAAAAAATTAATTAATTAAAATAAAATAAAATATGCCAGCCTCCATGAACAAACAAAAAAACAAAACCAAAAAAAAAAAAAAAACACAGAAACAACAAATTAGCCAGGCATGGTGGTGCACATCTGTGATCCTAGCTACCTGGGAGGCTGAAGCAGGAGAATCGCTTGAGGCCAGGAAGTTGAGGCTGCAGTGAGCAGTGAATGCACCACTGACTCCAGCCCAGGTGACAGAACAAGACCCTGTCTCTAAAACACATAATAAGTAATTAAAAAAATTTTTTTAAAGAAATTTTAAAAGAATATTCATTTTTCACTCCAGGGAAAAATATACACTGAGCTTGGCCTTCTAATTATAATCGTATAATTTTATATGAAGTATGCTGCAGACTAAAAGACAATGAATAATGGTATCATACCATTAGAAAAGGACCCAACTGGGCTGGGTGTGGTGGCTCACGCCTGTAATCCCAGGACTTTGGGAGGCAGAGGCGGGCAGATCACGAGGTCAGGAGTTTGAGACCAG